CCAGGGCAGTCAGCAAGCCCCACCCTCGCCCATATCACCCAGAGTCAGAGTTGCCAAGAGCACAGAGCAGCCGTAGGCAAGCATCTCCATGAGCAGGGGAGGGGCAGAGATGCCAGACCTGGATCTCAGCACTGCCAGGACAGCGCCTCACCACGGCAGCCGGGAGCCTCCAGCCCAGGAGAAGCTGGGCCTGGAGCTCACAGGAAGCCCCCTCTCACGGACCTGACCCTCTCAGATGAACAGCTGCTATGGAGGCCAGCCACTCAGCCCGGTCCTCCGGGCCCACAGGGAGGTCTCCTTGCCGGGAGGTCCTAGCTCCTCAGAGCAGAACCTGAGGCCAGGTCAGCACATCCAGGTAGCACCACCAAACACACAAGTGCCCCCTTTCCTCAGAAACAAGAACGTCATTTTGTGTCCATTTATTGAAAATTTGATGGGTCTAATGAATAGACGACGTACCCTTACCAGGTTTCTGTGCCTTTTCTCTCTGGTGCTTGAAGGCAGAAACTAAGTTGACCGAGCACATCTCTTACTATTGGGCTGCAGCACCTGGTTGTGGGGAGGTATCCCTCGCTTGATTTCACGGTTTTTCCATGCTCCCATCCCACCTCCCTCATCACAGCCACCCAGTGTGATGCATTCAGCACGTGTCCTTGGAGAGCGAGGTACTCAACAGATGCATGGTGTTGTGTGTGAGTTTTAAATTTATGTCAATGAGTTTTCACTGTAGATCTCTTTTCTTACTATTTTTGTTTGGTATATGTTGAGGTTATGTCATGAAATGCATACAGATTTAGAAATGTTTTGGAAACATTTAACCTTGGAAAATTTAACCTTTCATTACTAAGAAGCATTACTCTTTGTCCCTAATAATGCTTTTACCTCAACCTTTAAAAGTCTACTTTGGCATTAATATAGCTACACTGGCTTCCTTTTAGTTAGTATTTGCATGGTATCTATTTTTTATCCATGCCAATTATTAATCTGCTGCCTCTTAGCTTCTAACCACCATTCACAGTCAGCTCTGTGACGATGGAACATGGACTTGACAAACTGCATTCTGCTTTGCTACCCACTCCCTCTTTCTGTTGAGAAGTCAGCTGCCAGTCTTACTTTTACTCTTTTGCAAGTAACTTGAGTTTCCCCTGCTTCTAGAAGTTGTTTGGTTTACAGCTGTCTTACCTAGGTATGCTGCTTTTTGTATTTACTGCACTTGGAGTTTTTAATGCTTCTAGAATTCATGATTTAATTTCTTTCATCAGTTTTTGGAAATTATTGGTGATTACTTCTTTGAATATTACATCTACCTCATTCTTCCTCTTCTTCCATTGGTTCTAATATTACATGGCATGTCAGGCTTTTTTATAGTGTACCCTCTGCCTCCTAACATCCTATTCTCCACACTCTTTTTTTTTCTGGATTATTTTCTGATCTTCCAAGTTACTAATTCTCTCTCTAGCCATGCCTAATCTTCTGTTTTAAAATGTATTTTTTGATTCCAGACTTTCCTTTTAGTCCTTTTAGTTTCCCATTCTCTACCAAAATTCTCAATCTTGTTTAATTCCAGTAGACATGGACAGGTTCCTACATGAGTTTCTTAATGGTATCCTTGTTCTCGTGTTGGTCTCTGTCTAATCCTTGCCAAGACTGGGTTGTTTTATAACGATGGCTTTCTACAATGTCTGAGTATGACATGGTGAGTTGCTCTTCTTTGATCTTCTTTTTCAAAATTATTTTATTAATAGTTATTTTAGGCCTTTATTTTTCCATATAGAGTTTAGAAACTTTTGGGTTCTGCACTATTTTGTTACTACCATAACAAAGTGCCAGAGACAGGGTGGCTTAAACAACAGAAATTTGTTTTCTCACAGTTTGGCAGGGTTGGTTTCTTCTGCAGCCTCTCTTCTTGGCTTGTAGACACTGTCTTCTCCCTGTGTCTTCACAGGGCTGTCCCTCAGTGGGTGTCTGGGTCCTAAGCTCCTCTTGTTAAGGACATCAAGCTCACCTCACCTCATTTAACTTTAGTCACCTCTTTAAGGTCTTATTTCCAAATGCACCCACCCCTGCAGGTACTAGGGGTTGGGACTTCAATGCATGAATTTGAGGGAAACACAGTTCAGCTCATAACAGAGCCTTTTAAAAATTATGCCAAGATTTTGATTGTAATTTCACTAAATTTATGGCTCAGTTTGTGGTGAACTGTCACCTTTGCAATATCCTGTTCATGCTCCATTTATGCAGATTTTCTTTTATATTCTTTAATAACTTTTTGATGTTCTCCATAGAGGTCTTTTACATTGTGGACTATGGTGAATACCTTTTTTTTTTTTTTTTTTTTTTCTCTTCCAGAGAGGGAGTTTTTCTCTGCTGCCTAGGCTGGAGAGCAGTGGCACAATCTCAGCTCACTGAACCTCCACCTCCAGGGTTCAAGTGATTCTCGTGCCTTAGCCTCCCATGTAGCTGGGACTACAGGCACATGCTACCACGACTGGCTAATTTTTGTATTTTTAGTAGAGATGAGGTTTCACCATGTTGACCTGTCTGGTCTCAAACTCCTGGCCTCAGGGGATGACTTGGCTTCCCAAAGTGCTAGGATTACAGGCATGAGCCATCATGCCAGGCTATCATTGGCTTTTTATCTTATATTTTCTAAAGCTATTTTTTGTTCTGGTAGAGAAATTCTGCCATCTTTAAGTCTAAGTTACACATCTGGCTGCAAGTCTAGGGAGTAACTGCTTAACACAGGGGCGAGAGGTAAGACACCCAGTAGTGCAGAGCAGCACCCTGTGTGCCGGGGACGACCCTGCCCTCCTCCCGCCTGGCCGCTGACCCAGCATCCTGGGGGCTTCCAATGGCAGGAGCCACCCTCAGTACGGTCCCACTCCCAGCAGGAAAAAGGGGGAAAGGACAAGAGCACACAGGTTCTGAACAGCCCCTCTCCTTAGGGGGGACAAAGGCTCTCCCAGGAGCCCCCGGCACCCTAGTTGCAAGTTTCACCAGCTGTGCCTATGTCCTGTGGCCTCTGCCAGCTGCAGCACTTGTGATAGAATCAGGCGTCAGGGCTGCAGCTGCATGAGCCACCGTGCCTTCAACATGCTGTGTTCTTCCTGGTGGCAGCTCTGCCAATGCTGTGTTAAATAGAAGTGGTGAAAGCAGGCAATCTTTTCATTGGTTCATATTTTTAAAAATACATTTAAAAGCTCTCCACTACATAGGTCTTCTGAGATTAGCCTTTGTCAAGGAAAAAATTTCACTTCTATGATGAGTTTTCTCAACATGTTTCACCACAAATGAATGTTAATTGAATTCAAATGCTTTGTCTTCCTCTGTAGAAAACCGTATTTTTCACCTTTGGTCCACTAATAGGTAAAGCACATTGACATATCTTACGATGTAAAACCACCCTGAACCTGATTGATCATGGTGATTTGTTCTGATGCGCCGCTCGATTCATTTTGCTACTGCTTTATTTAAAACTTTCATGCCTCGTCTCAAACATAACACAGCCTAAATGTTTCTCTTGTGCTTCTCTTATATACCCTAAGATACATCCTATACATCTTTAGAAGGCTTCCGGAATCATAAAATCAGCTGGAGCACCGCCTCCCCTTCCTTTTCCCATTCTGTGCTCTCAGCCTTGGAACAACTGTCAGATGTTAGAGCCCAAAACAGATCCCCTGGGTCTATCTCCTTTTCTTTCATATTTGCTGCCTTTTTGCCAGAAAGATTTCCTTAAATGTACAATTCCATCCTTCTGGGTTTTTGGTGGTGTTTTTTTATGCAATAATTTTTTAATTTTAAAAGTGCCTTTTTTGTCTTATTCCATCTTCACAGTTTCCTGTTCTTTTTATATAAATATATCTCCCCAGTCTGAGTCTATGGATTGGAGTATGTATTTTTTAAATTTTCCTCTGAGTCATTCAAACTTCTCAATCCATTTATTTTCTGTTTCTTTGCCTGGTCTTTCTTTTATGTGATGCAGCTCTCCTTGAATGTCTGATACATTTTCATCCTTCAGAGAAGCCAGTGGGTGACAGGAAGTCGTGCTTCCATGAAAGGCAGTGTTTCACTCCAGAACCTCAGCTCCCGCCCCTGGATCCAGACCCGCAGCATTCCCAGGACCCCTTCTCCCCTCTGGGTCCTGCCCCCACCTCGCTGGCTCCCATCGCAGATTCCCCATGAGACTCCACACTTGGCCTCTCACACAGAGTCTATGGGTGAGGGGCCCCTCCCAGCCTCTCAGCTGGCAGTCCTGGGCCTGTGCTGGGAAATATCCCCTCCCGCCCACAGCCAGAGGAGCTGCATGGCTGTCTTGAGTGGAAGTCACACATCCCCTCCCAGGACCAGGGGAGGAAACAGTCACAGACTTTCCTCATGAGCCAAAAATAAGCGAGGTCTGGCTGTGGTGCTGTCCACTGCCGGCTCCAGCACCAGGGGTTGCCCAAGAACCCCCTTGACGCCTTAGAGTAAGCAGCTCACTGCTGGCTGTTCTTTGCGTGACCGGAAACGGGGACTTGACCAGAGTGTACAGATCTATGATGACCCCCACTTCCACCTCCACATCCCACGGCCACGGCCCCTCCTTTCCAAGCTCGTCCTCCCTGATGGGCAGCATCCCCAGTCCGGTCTGGAGTCTCCCGGGGCCCTTCCTGCTCTCCTTGTTAATTTATTTTCTGTCTTGGAGGGAAGCTGGGTGGACCTGCTCAGGCGGCCCCCTAGGGCCAGAAGACCTGTCAGTCACTTTCAAATACATGTTCTTTCCAGAGGTTCTAAAAACACTGTTGTCCCTCTCACCCAGAAAGCTAAGCTTCTGTTCAGTCCTTAACGGTAGCTATAAATGAGAAGCACAGCTTGGTTTCCTTCTAATATCCGGCAAGTTAGAAGACAGAAAGTATTTATTCACTTATTCATCACATATTTGCGGAGCAACCCTACACGGGACAGCAGAGGTCCCACGTGGGCGGTGCACCCGGAGCCAGGCTCAGTTGAAACTCACCGGAGGCGCGGCCGCCCTGGGCTGGGAAGACGCTGTGGGCCCAGGTGGCATCAGAACCCACAGGAGGGAGGCAGCTGGCCCAGGAGGGGCCGTGGCAGGCCTTTGGGGATCGCGAGAGTCGACCCCATCCTCCCTGAAACAAGGTCGAAGGTTGAGGAGGTCCCTGCCCGGCCCCGCAGCTGACAAGGCGAGAAGCCGCACCTGCCGGGGTAGGGACCGCGGGGTGGGCTCGGGCCTCCGTGGGGCCGGCACAGGGACCCTCTCCTCTCAGGGCCTTGGCCCTCATCCCCGGGCACCGGGACTCACAGGCGGATGGGACCAGGTGGGGACCAGGGTGTGAAGGGGAAGGAAGCCGGGTGGGTGGAACGGGGCCGGATGCGGGGGTCGTGGGGGGCCGCGGGGAAGGGACCTTGTGATGCAGGAGACGGAGGGGGCTGGTGACGGAGGACGGGAGGCCGCGAGGATGGGGAATGGGGACGTCCTTTTCCCCTCCCACTGGCTCACCAGGGATGCGCCTCCGCGACTGCCCGCCCCAATCCCAGGGCGGAGGCCTCGCGCAAAACCCAGGCGCCTCGGCTCCGAGCTCCGGCTGAGGGTCTGCGCCGCCGCCCGCCCGCTCCTTCCCGCTCGGCCGCGGCCCCTGGGCGGATACTCCGGCGCGCGGTTCCAACCAAGGTCCGTGGCGGGTAAGGCCGGGAGGCTGGGGCGGGTACAGAGCCGGGGAGCGAGGGGCGGCGCAGGCAGGGGATGCAGCCGTCGCCCGGATAGCCGCGTCCGAAGGCGACCTCGCTACTCGACCCAGCCCTGTCCCCCGCCAGGTGCTGAACTAGGCGACCGGGGACGGCATGGAGCGCTGGGAGTGCGCGGGGACCGTCCCTGGGGTACGGGCCTGCTGGGGCGGGGTCCGCACGGTGTCAGCAGCCGCTTGACAGCGGCAGCACCGGCAAGGCCCGCACCCAGGCTCTGGCCCCAAAGGTGGGCGCCAGGCCCCAGGCACGGCCCGTCCCCGCTCCAGACCCTTATCTGAGCCAGCTCTTGGTCCCCGCTACCGCATCCTCCAAACACAACGCCCCTGCCCCCATGCTTCCCCCCACCTCGCATCCCAGCAACGCGTGCAGAGCCCAGAAGCATGGCGGCCCTCCCCCAGGCCTGCCCCACACCCCCCGGACCTGGACGCCCCCCGAGGCCTGGACGCTCCCACCGCGGCGCTCCTGCCCCGCTTCAACGCCCCCAGTCCAGGTGCACAACCTTCAGGTGCAGAACCCTCCGGCCCCACCCGCCACTTCCCAGCGCCTCCCCCAGGCCTAAGTCCCTGATGCTAGGGATTAAACCGCGCCCCCCAGGCCTGCGTGGGCCTCCAAGATGCTGGGGGCACCCTGATCCCACAAAAGCCGAGGGTCCCTCTGCTCTCCAGCCCTGAGCCCTCCGCCCTGGGGACCCGATCTCCATGGAAACTGAGGGCCCTCTCCCTCTCTTCCCGCAGGTTTGACTCCACCAAGATGAACTGGGCACCCGCGACGTGCTGGGCTCTGCTACTGGCGGCCGCTTTCCTCTGCGACAGCGGCGCAGCCAAGGGCGGCCGCGGAGGGGCGCGGGGCAGTGCCCGGGGAGGGGTTCGCGGGGGCGCGCGCGGGACCTCGAGGGTGCGCGTGAGGCCGGCGCCGCGCTACGGCGCCCCTGGCTCCTCCCTGCGCGTGGCTGCGGCAGGGGCGGCGGCTGGGGCGGCGGCGGGAGCGGCCGCGGGCCTGGCGGCGGGGTCGGGCTGGAGAAGGGTCGCGGGACCCGGGGAGCGCGGCCTGGAGGACAACGAGGACGGGGTGCCCGGAGGCAACGGGACCGGCCCCGGCATCTACAGCTACTGGGCGTGGACTTCAGGCGCTGGACCCACGCGCAGCCCTGGTCTCTGTCTCGTGCTGGGCGGCGCCCTCGGCGCCCTGGGGTTGCTGTGGCCCTAGGCCTGGCCGGGCTCGGGGACTACATCTGGCCCCCGGCCCGCGCCGTCCCCAGGATCCCCCGGCCTGGGCTCCCCCTTCCTCCCTTGCCTACGGTCTTGGGCCCCAGCTGGGGCAGGAGCTGCAGGCTGTCCCTGTGGACCCGCCATCCAGTGTCCTGCCCACGCCGCCTCGGCCTCCCACCTCCCACCTCGAGGGGACCATGGATCCTGCCCCAACCCGCTCCAGGATGTTAGGGTCCCCCCAGTCAGAAAGGCAGCGGCCTGTGGCTCCTGTACCAGCCGCCCAGCCACGCTCCAGAGCTGCCGAAAGGGAGGTGCCAAGGCCAGGAACCCAAGCCACCCCGGCTCCCCTCACCTGCCCTGGGGCTGTGGTGACCCATGGGCAGAGGCCACCTCAGGCTGGTTCTGCCACCGAGGCCCTGAGGAATCTGGCCCTTCCCAAAAGAAGCAATGAAATGGACCAAAGGACTTAAGGATTTGGGGGGAAGTGAGGGGAAAATGATAGGTGCTAACCACCTGCCCAGAAGAGACGAGTAGATCTCTCAGCCCAGGAACATTCCCAAACAGGAAAACTGTCCCTCCGAGGAACGTCCATCCTGGCTCTGCAGCTGGTGGGAAAACACACCCTGCCATGGAGGGGCTGCCAGGCCTTGTGCCCCACACCCTCAGGCCGAGATCCGTCAGAGACCCACTTTGCTCCAACAACTTGAAACATGTCACTTTACCCTCCTTAGGGCCCATTTTGGGGGAAAAAACCCAACACATTCCAGAGCTTTCCAAATCTTCTGAACTTTAGGTTCACATTCAGGCATCACACAGTTCTGCCTGTACTCAGGGCACGGCAACTGCCAATCCCGCTGAAGAGCCCTCCCTGGGCACAGCTCAGGCTGCACAGCACACGCATTTCCCCGCAGGCAGCCCCTTCCTCGGAAGCAGCTGTTCCAGGCCTCGGAACAGGGTCTGGGTACCCAGGCGTGGTAGATCGGCAGCTGACGGCCTGCTCAGTGGATCAGGAGCTAACTCAGACCACGGAGCAAGCAGGGGCCAGTGGCGGGCCCCGGCGCCCAGCAGGACACCCATGCAAGAGGTTGAGCCCCCAACATCTCCAAGAGCTCTGACCACCCAAGGACAGGAGACACACGGAGCGGCACCGGGCGGTCACAAGAACTTGCGTCCAGCACTGGACACACCTGTGTTAAGACCGGCCCTCTGCTCCCCAGTCCTGCCAGCCTGGGGCATCCTCCATGGGCTCAGCACTGAGGGGTCTTGGGTCTACCACGTTCTCTAGCTCTCCAGTCACCCGACTCATCCGAGGTACGATGGGTTCTCCCTGGCCCCCCGTGGCCTTAGGATCTCACCCTCTCCATGCCCTGGTGAGAGCCTCGCCCGCTGCCAGGCTACATCCCTCCTGGGCCTGAGCCTCTGGACTCAGTGGACACCAAAGTTGAGACCAGCACCCGCCATGGGCCCTGCCAGCCTCTGCCTTCCCCAGCTGGCCTGGGTGCTGGCCAGGGTGAGGATCTGGAAGCTGTTGGCAGGACTCAGCCAAGCACTGCTCTCTAGCTCCGGGGCACTAAGCCACAGGAGGCAGCACCCTGCAGCCTCCCATCCACTGCCAGCAATGCCCCGGCCCAGTGAGCCCAGACGCTCCCCCACCCCTTCCAGACCAAGCTCAGTGCCACCAAGACCAGCAGGCCAAGGCCAGGCCCTGCCCCAGATCTGCCATTTCCCCAGGAGGCAGGAGTGGTCTGAGTCTCCTCAAAGCAGGGAGACCCACCGGAGCCCCCTCGACTTTGCAGACGCCCACCTGGAAAATGGGCTGAGCTGCACCAGACCCTCACACACCACAGCACTGCAAACTGATGGAATGTTCCAGATGTGATGGACACATCGTGATCTGCGTATTCAGCACATTAGCATCTGACACAGCCAATCTGCACACTTCCGGCCCAGGCAGGCAGGGTTATGGCGGATGCAGGTGGCACACGGGGGCTAACTTCAGGCTGGAGTGTGTGGGGTACGGGGCAGCAGAGGCAGTCGGCCAGCAAGGAGGGGCCGCTGAGCACCAGGGCCGTGGTGGAGGCTGCTGTGGGAAGGCCAGGCCACCACCGGAAAGAGGCCGGAGCTTCTGCACAGAATGTCCCCGGCCCCAGGCCCCGCAGCACCTCAGTCCATATCCCCAGCCCCACTCACCTTCCTTCCTCTTCCCTCTTCTAGGGCACAGGCTGTGGACCTTCAGGTGCACTGAAAACGGGGCTGGAGGGACCCCACACCTCTCAGCCCCACTAATGCAGAAACCCACTACCCGTGAGCTAGAAGGTGCTCAGCGGCCAGGGGGTCTCCACTGCCCGTGCTGGGCGGCCTTCCAGTCTGTGCACAGCGAAGCCATGTGCAGGGCGTCCCCCTCAACTCTGCCCTGGAACATGCCCCAGGGCACGGAGGGGTGAAGCCAGTGCTTGGGCTCAGGGAGTCTTGTTGTGTCTGTGTGCGCCTGTACATGTGAAATAAACCTGTCTGCTGGCAGCGAGCCTCTTACTTGCTGTGGGACTGCAGGACACTGGACCGAAAGCCCCCAACCAAGCCCTGGTTGCCAACCCGCTCACTTCTTAGGTTCCACTGGTGAGAGCAGCTCTAATACACAGGCCCAAGGCTCTATGGTACACCTCACAGGCCAGTAAGAAACAGGCCCTTTAATTGGAGATTTTAAAGGTTACAGGTTATAGTTTTTAACTTCTTCTGAGACAGCATCCATTTCTCAAGAGGCCTGAGCAGAAAGCTCCGGGAGAACCAAGCATACGGTGCTGCTCAGGGACGTCACCTGGGAAGCCTAGTGTCCACTCCCACCTGCTTGGCCGCTGGAACTGGGGCCCCTGGAGCTAGCCAGGCTGTGGGGGCACCAGAGAGCACAGCACCCTAGTAGCCAGCGTGGAGCTCCTGGACCAGGTGAGCTGTCTTGAGCCTCAACCACCCAGGTCAGGAGGTCTGGGAGGCCACACGCCTCTGGTCCTCCCAACCCAGACAAGTTCAGGGCACAGTCTCGGCCGGGGTGTGGCCACGCAGGATGTCGAGGTCCAGCATCACGGGGCCCAGCAGCCCGCGGCGGAAGGTATGGAGGAAGTCACGGGCTGCCGCAGAATAGTCAGGCTGAATAACATTCACGTCACCTGGGGGATGGGAGGGATCAGTGAGGAAGGAGCCTTCATAGCAGCACGGGCCCAGCCCTTACCCACCTGAGGGACCAGCCCTAAGAGACTCTAGGGTGGCATCAGGGAAGCCCAGGGAACAGGATCACACTCAGAAAGAAACCAGCTGGAGCCTCCAAGGCCAGGCACGAGGCCTGCAGGTGTCCACCTAGCACTGCCCATCAAGCGGCAGGGCTGATGGACCCTCGGAAGCCTGGACTACGAGCCCTTCCTCTCCAGAACTTTCTGTAGCTCCCCTGCCCTGAAACTCAGTCCCAGAAGACCTGCCCGCATGCTCCTTGAGACATTCCTCTCCTCCCTGCCTCCTCTGGGGACGGCGGGGGTCCCCCTGGGTGATGGGGGGAGGCTCCAGTGCCCGCGTCAGCAACCTCACTCACCCGTGCCCGTGAACACCTTCACCTTCTGTGTCTTCCCCAGCTTCACAGCCACACTCTTCAGCACACGCTCTATGCTGTCACAGGCACTGCCCAGGCCGTAGTGCTGCACGTACCTGCACATAGGCTGCAGGTCAGCACCAGGGGGCCCAGCACTGACACCACGCAGACAGCCAGATGCACAGTCAGCCAGGCTGGGCCCTTCCTCCTGAATGCCACAAAGGCCATGGCTAGGCACCTCCTGTGGGTGACAGTGACTGCAGTGCTGTGGATGACGAAGATGACACTGGAGGTGACTGGTGCTGGGCCCTGGGGGAGAGCCACTGTCTAAGAACCATCCCTGAGCTTTGTCCTGTGTGGCCATGGCCGGCAGCATGGAGGGTGGCTCCCACCACTGGAGCTCTTGCTGCAACGGGAGGAATACCAGCTGTTCATATGCACAGGCTTCATCCACCCTATCCGGGGGCAGGGACAGACAGGCCTCTGTGCAGGCCCAGGTCCTGGAAACTAAAAGAGTAGCACAGCAGACCATCTGCAAACACACTGTTTGCTGCTAAGGATGGCACTCGGTGACTTCCAGGCAGCCAGTACGCCTGCATCCTCTCCACCCGGCTGGGTGTTTGAGCAGCGTTTTCCTAGCACACGGACCAGCATGGGCTGACTAGGCACCCACCACTGCTGAGCGCCACCCAGTGGTTCTCACGGGCACTCTGACTCCTCACAGTGCAGACTCTGGGCAGAGAGGCCTGGAGGGAAAGGCCAGCACAGAGCAGCAACTCACAGGGACAAACACCGCCCTAAGCCTCAGGAGCCCAACTAACCCAGACCCAACACTTTCCCAACCTTCCTGACAGCCGGGGTGAGGGCAACCTGTCTCATGGCTCCCACGAGGACAGGCTCAACCTTGAGGAGGCTGGAGCCCTCAGACCTGGTCACAGCATGACCCGGTAACACAGGACTCACCACAAGGCCCAGCAAAGCAAGACATGAGCTCAGAGCCCATGGGGGCATCAGCACCGTGAGTAACACGGGTTCTAAATCTCACTTCTGGGAAGCAGCAAGCGTGAGCTCTCAATCAGCAGCCTCAAGGGCCCCTGGTGCTCCAAAAAAGCTGTCCCAGGAGAGAGGAGCAAGCCTGGAGAAGACCCCTGCCCACTCCCGAGACCTGCCAATGGGTGAGAACTCCTGCAAGCTGCCCACTCCCGAGACCTGCCAATGGGTGAGAACTCCTGCAAGCACAGGACTGTTTCCAAATAACCGAGCTATCCCAGAACAAAGCTCAAGAATTTTTACAGGAATGCAGACATCCATCACCTCACAAGGTGAAACTCAAAATACATGGCATCCAGCCAGGCACGGTGGCTCACGCCTGTAATCCCAGCACTCTCAAAAAAACTGAAGGGGGGAACACTTCCAAAGTCATGGTACATGGCA